TATAACAGAGGAAAGCATAAGTTCGCCGTTTCCCCCTAAATTCTACATCTTAAACTAAATTTCACCCACCAGGTGATACTATTGAGTTAAGGTGAGAATATCCTTGTAACAATACAAAAAGAAAAAGAAAACTAGAGGTAGCGAATTTACCTTTAGGCCACACCATGTAAATTTTATGGATGACGTCCTTTGGAGACCCTAAATCTAATGCGAGAGGGCAAAAAAAAGTAGGGTCCTAAAAACAAGATGCCTAGATTAGAAATATACTAAGAGACGACAAATGTTAGGACACAAATTGAATGAGGTGACACAATGTAACAAGCAAGAAGTCTTTTATTCATCATCAAAACAACAATAAATCAGGTGGAACAGTGGAAAGTGACAAATTTTCTAATATTGACAGGATGGTAATAGACACTTAGACACACGCGTTACGGGTTTCACGTCAATCTGACGATTTGCGGCACCTGTCGTGACTCTTTGGTCATAGTTACAGGAAGCGGAATTTCTTGTTTTTTTCTGGGAACAGGCCAAAATCAATGCGCGCGCGGACGTCATCCATAAAATTTACTTGGTGTGGCCTTAGCGTGGTACAGTGGCAAATGTAGCTGGCAGTGTTATTTTCTTCTCCTTGGTGCTGAATCGCCTTCTTGTAAATTAATCACGCTATTTTACCAATTCACAGCCGTCTACAGGGTTAAACAGCATACCAAGGCTTCTAATTTACGACTTCCTGTTTTTACAGTTTGCTACCGATTTAATTATCGTCACTCTGCCCAGGAAATGTTCAAAAATCGTTTATTTTTGGGTGTGAAATGAAACCAAACAATGTAACTATGCTAGTGTTCTGCTGCCCTCTTCTGGTTCTGACTCCCTTGTGCGGACACCAAAAAGTAGGTGATAAACAGAGCCCGAGTTAGGCCATGTTGATTTGATTATATGGATGACATTCTCCGGGAGCCCCAAAACTGATGCGCGCGTGCGAATAAAAAAAAAGTTTTGCAAAAAAAATAAAAAGTTCTTTTCATTATGAAATCTACGTGGTCATGAGGGTTGAGCAAATGGCACAGAATATGGTTTGGCGAATAATCTAGTCTTCAAGTTCATTTCTTTACGATTTCGTCTTTTTCGTTTGATTTTGGCATTCTACGACATTGGTATAGTTTTTATTAATATTTTTTTAAACTTATGGTATATTTTTGCTCATTTTGCAACTGTTTTGTTCGATTTACAGTATGGTTGAAAACTTTTTTTTTTTTGGAAACGGCCGAAAATTCATGCGCGCGCGGATGTCATCCATATTATCAAATCAACATGGCCTTACCAGTAAATACTATATTTTATCAGACCAATTTTCAACTCTGGATAGAAAAGTTGTAGAGCGATAGTTTCAAGTAAGAGCTAGACACAGTTACGATGCGTCATGTCATGTGACGGGTACTGTCCAGGGACAGACAACGGCGGGTTTTTTGAAATCTATTGGATATGCAAGACGCAAGCACCAGGGCTTTGGCCATGCAAGACGTAAACATACCGAGCTTTTGACGACAATTGAGATCTTGCTGCTGTTTCACCAGCGAAAAAGGACAAAAAAAAGAAAGACGAAAAAAGAAAGACCTCAAAATGGTTAAAAATTTTTCCTTGCCATTTTTTTTTCACATTTCCAAACACTGTTGTTCATTCAGTGGACCCTGCCTAGTTGACGGGTGGGTGAGCGCCATCTAGTACAAGGGGGTAGAAACGCAACTTACTTACTTACTCAGCTTCCCTCTAGCCAAGGCCACACCAGTTTAATTTGTTGCTTCTCGGATATTTTAGAAATAAATATGAAGCGACAGGGCGAAAAAAATAGGAAAGGCACCCTATGATAGCCGGAAATTTTACAATATGAGCCATGAAGAGAACATACCAGACTGGTTTATAATTAATAGAATAAATTTTGAACTTTTGATAAAACAAAATTACATTGTTACATTAAAAAACTGTAACAACTAGGAAGAAAAGGGCTTTCTTCAACCGTTGGGCTTAAATATATTTTTCATCGAGCATTGAGGAGTTGATTTAGAACATATTTTTTTAAATCAGAAAAAAATGGACAGGGCAATTCCGAGAAACAACAAATTAAATTGTTGTGACCTAACCGTTCATTGTGTTTCTGTTTGATTTCGCTAGATGGCGTCCGGAGGTTCATCTAGTTACCGGCATGTTCGGTCGTGCCAGTGATAATAAATATTGCTCATATACCCATTTTGTAAGGCATTTTATTTCAATTCTAGATCTGTTACATTGGTACATCGTCATATAATTAACTGTTCTATTCTACACAGGTAAATAACATACAGGTAAATAGCAGTTAATATGAAATATAGCCATGCTTGTATATGTAATATAAAACATACTAAGGCCATGTTGATTTGATTATATGGATGACATCCGCGCGCGCATGAATTTTCGGCCGTTTCCAAAAAAAAAAAAGTTTTCAACCATACTGTAAATCGCACAAAACAGTTGCAAAATGAGCAAAAATATACCATAAGTTACAAAAAATTAATAAAAACTATACCAATGTCGTAGAATGCCAAAATCAAACGAGAAAAGACGAAATTGTAAAGAAATGAACTTGAAGACTAGATTATTCGCCAAACCATATCCTGTGCCATTTGCTCAACCCTCATGACCACGTAGATTTCACAATGAAAAGAACTTTTTTTTTGCAAAACTTTTTTGTTATTCGCACGCGCGCATCAGTTTTTGGGCTCCCGGAGGATGTCATCCATATAATCAAATCAACATGGCCTAAAGTAATAAAAATTGAGGATGGATGTTATTTCGTCATTGTACGTCATATTGTTGAGATAAACATCATCTATTATTGTATACACGATAATTTTCTCAGGTTTCAAATTCTAAATAGATAAGGATAAATTTTTATTAATTATGTAATTAGACAAATCGTGTTTTATAAGCTATATAATCTTCATACATCTACAATTGAAGCGAGAAGTAATGAAACACACATATCAATCAAACCGGTAGGTAGTAGTACACATTGGTACGTATGGTGAGATATCTCTCCTTATACATGACCTGTACTTAGGTTGTAAGAGAATAAATGTAACACTAAATATATTTCATTATGATTATAACTTGAAAAACCTTCGCACATTCGTCTGAAAACTATCTCATGTTAGCAAATCGAGACTGTTTCATCATCAATACTATATTATCATAATACCCTGACAATACTCTCCATATATATAAAGGGGTTCTCAATTCCAGAGTGAAGAGCTTTTTTTCGACAGACATAAATTGAAGGAAGTGAAAGATGCACATTACTTAATAATATTCGATAAAATACCCAATATGAACGCAAGTCTTAAAACTTATCCAATCCAGAATGAACTCCCCAAATAACCTCTAAACTATCCCAGAATGCACCGCGCTACCTAGTTGGTGTAAGTTAAGAACATTATTTTGTGGGCGATAAGAAAAAAATTCCTACTATTTTCTTTGACATCAACAATTGACCTTACTAGTGTCCAGATTGCCCCTCATTTATGCCGAAATATTCGCGATCAAAAAAAGCGTAATCTTATTATGTTTCCAATAAGCTCAATGTAATAAGGTCACTTATAACTCTATGTATCTTTATAGTAACTAATCAATAATCATAGCCATAACAAGATAAAAAATGGCAAATTTCAAAATGTCCACATACTAGTATCTGTTGATACTGCACGTATGTAATCACCAGTAAACACTCTATTATATAATAATTATTTTGCCTCATGACAAAAGACTTATTTTCTAACTGTAGTCACTGATATATCAAACTAGCATCCTGTTGAACAATTGGATAAGGTGTAAAAGTGATTGTCGATATGGACTAATGCGTTCCTTACAATCATTCAATGTAGTATTACTTAAATTCAATGCTAAATTCCTAACAACGATTGACATTATTACAGCATGAGAGACCACCGTTTGGATGAGTGACCATAAATACCGTCTCTCTGCAAATATCAGACTGTGGGAAGTTGTGAATTAACTGCCATGGATTTTTTTAAATATAAGCCTGCAGTATTATTAAACAGGTTATGTAGTGTGGAGTATTCGCTCCAGTCAACTAAACACCTTTACAAGTTGCAGAGTCAGAAGTGCCCAATATCAGGTGTTAGCTTGTCCTTAAAGGAGTACTAACCTCCAGAACGAAGTGCTATTTTCCGATACATCATGCTGCAATGAATACATAACTAACCGACTTTTTACATGATTTCGCTTGTACGAGTTGCGCGGCGCATGTTTGTAAATTGATATTAATATCATTTTCCCCCATGCTGAACCACAATTGATACATCCGGGAACTCTGGCTTACGCAATACTCATACACTTCAGGTCAACATACACATTTTTCGGCGAAAATGGTAGGAGACAAACACACTAACAAGCTGATTATTGAGAAATTACTTGCTTTACTTTGCTTGACCTGTGGCTTGGATATTATAATATCACGATGTCGAATACAGTGGGCGCCAGTTTCATCCTGTGTGTTTTGAGTTTCTCAACTTATTTGCATGTAAGTATAACTTGAACAGATAATTAGATTACGCCACTTATGAAAAAGATAACTAGATTACGCCATTTTTTTCATCATCAATATTTGCGGCATAAATGAGGGGCGATAAGGACACCAAGAAGGACAATGGTTGGTAGGATATCAAAGAACACAAAACGGTACGAATTTTTCTTATCGCCCCCGAAATGAGGTCTGTAACGTAACTTTTTCTTTAAAACATAGACACCAATGGGGCAGCGTGGTGTATTCTGGGATAGTTTTGAGGGTATTTGGAGAGTTTGTCCCGGATTCGATGCGTTTTAAGATTTGCTCGCAAAATGGGCATTTAATTGTATACTGTAAAATAATATTCATTTTTCACTTCCAAAAATAAATGCCTGTCGAAATATAGCACCTCCTTCTGGAGGTTAGTACTCCTTTAACACACGCATGGCCATCCAACCATTTTATCTACCGCCTAGATATGATTATAAGTCGTGATGCTGAAAATCTGAAATATGCTTTAGTACAAGTTAGTTCTTGAGACGCAGATAAAACCTATCCGCATTTGAATACTTTATAGAAATCAAGTTGAAACTCTTGAACTTTTCATTCATTCTTTCAATCTGCAGATAGGGATTTTTTAACCCAAGACAATGTCTGAATTGCGAACTAATCTCAATACCGTCAAATTAGATAAGGCATCCGATTGAAGACATACACAGGATTCGTTACTCAAGTAATTCATTCAGTTTCTTGAGTAACAATTCTAGTGTATCATTCAGTTACTTCTTCGATTGACCCATCCGGACTGTTGCCAGGTTGTAAACGTTTAAACTGCATTAGCTCAACTGCTGCAGAAGATGACTTGCTCTCATCGAGGACATACATATTCTTCTTCTTTCCTTTGAAGTCGAATTTCTTGAGCCACTTTCTCATATCCTCCCTCAAGACGCAGTGGAAGATGAAGACAAAGAGACCCTGGAGAGTGTTGAAGGTGCAGAACAGGTAGGCAAAAGCAGGATGACCACCGCTGATGACAAAGAAGCCGAACACCCATGTGAGACCAAACAGAGACATGACGCTGAAGGCCCGACGAAGCTGACGGAGTATCCATTGTTTGTCTACGCCTTCCCCATTGGTACCTGTGCATCAACATGTTGTTCTTCTATAAGCAACAATCCATATCTGTTAAAGACTAAACATTCTCTGCCAGTGCTGGATCGAAATAGGACTTACCCAAATTTTCATCTGACTCCTTCAACCACTTAATGGCAGAAAGAGTTGAGTTTTTATTTCATAATGACTTGTACCAAATACTGATTAACCTCCATGCTAAACCCATATCTGTATTCTGAAGGTCATCTTTCTTGGTACATTTTGAATCAAGTTCCAACAGGACAGGACACATTTCGACTGTACAACCCTCCGCAAAGACAAGGGGTGCTACAGACTTTCTAAAAACTTTTATCCACTGCTTACCGAGTCACGTGCGTCATCTGCATGACGTGACGTCAAAGAAGCGTTAGATTGTGGTCATTTCATGATGTTAAGGTTTGTTTAAAGGTGCATTTGAAAATCTAAGTTCAATTGTCCTTGCATGGGACATTAGGTCCTAGTGCTAACTTATTAATGGTACTCCCCGGGCAACAGCTGCTGCAATGACCCTGATTTGCGATACCTTGGGGGTGGGGGGAACTAGCAGATCAACCCGCCCCCCCCACCATGTGTGATGATAACAACCTATATTTCAACCCCCATGGTGCTTAAAGTCACAAGTATGACAATACAAAGTGCTGTGTGAACATCATAACATAAATCTTTTTTTTTACCTGTCAACGTTTTTTGCACCTTCTCCCTCTTGGCCAGCTTGTATATGACGATGGAGAAGATTATCATGTTGAACATCAGTATGAGACCAGCAGGAAGCAGAAAAGCGTACGACATGGGGAGATGAGCCAGCCAACAGCTGTCAACAGATGGGAACTTTATATCTCAGCATGATGGTGATCGTTATTTGATTGTATTAACGATGTGCTTCCCTTTGTTATAATGTGTGTATGAAATATGTGGTAACATAATCACCTAGCGCCAAAAAGCAGTTACTCAAGCAACTGGATATGATTTTGAAATTTTCAAAATCATATCCAGTTGCTTGAGTAACTGCTTTTTGGCGTATCGTATTACCTGGATGTCTAACCTTCATCGACGTATAATCACCTAGCCCCTGCCAAGTGCACATTCAATGGATTCCGCATTGTATTGTCTTGTTGCAATCTCCACATAGAAAGAACCTTAGTAGCACGTAAATCGGATGGATGACATACTTATAAATTTTGATAAAAGACTCTAGTTTTGCGGCCTTGAGGTAAGTTTTTAAAGTGACCGAAAATCAGCAATTTATCCAATTCCTAATAACATCAATATCATCAAGGGAAGTTTCGAAATTTAATGAATGACAAATTACTTTACAGAGATATTTTTTAGAAATGTACCTTATCGAGCATCTATTCTGATCTCCAGGCACCACGTTACATCTGTAGTATTATTAATGGCCTCGATAATATTGACTTTGTATATTCATGTATTATAACATATATACTTTTTTATTGCTTTTACTTAACTTGATGATTGTTAACTTCGGCGCAATTCAGCCATTGCTGTAAGGCCGATTTGTTCCTTGTTTATCAATAAACCATTTACTACTACTACTACTACTACTATTTGGAATATGAAATGTCATTTTATTACATTTAACACCTCAAAATGCAACCTACTAGTCGCTCATCTTGTATTCGTAGAGACTAGATGGCCCGACAGTTGACATCATGGCAAAAAGGGGAAAGCCTGAAACAAAAAAGCCACATTATGCTCTTGTGGTGAAATACATATTATCTCCCTTGTTCTAGTATTTATTACTTTCAGGACAGAAGTACTAGTATTGTTTGTTTGTTTTTGGTACTAATCAATGCTAGGTTTGTATGTTAGGGTTCCAAAATGAGCCGGTGGAGATTGGGTTTCACTTGATTGACAGGAATTTTAACAAATATGCATTGGATTGAAGGATCCGGTCGCATGAAATGGGACTATGAAACGAATATTATGGTGTAATAGTGACGATGATTTTATCATACAATAATGCATTATATTATGTTAAACATTAAGCCGATATTTCTGCTGGACATTAACATTTTCTAATTTGTTGTTTGCAGCTGCTTTTGAAAATGCACGTAGATTTGTATTTGTAGATTTGGTTATTAAATGATGCTGGGGAACTTTTATATTAAAAAAAGATATTGTAAAGTTCTGATGAAAATTAGTCTCCATGTTTAACCATGACAGACAATCCTCAATTTGCATAAAATACGTCCTTAACGGCAGTTGGGTATTAAAATGGTCTGCTTACCCCAAGCTACAACTACAGCCTTGTAGATAAAACTCTCAGACACATAGTGGCCAAAAACCATCACGGCAGCCAGAAAGATCATTACAGCCTCAACTGCCATCCACATTAACGCAGCCAATAGGAAATAGTGTAACAAAGCTGCTACAGCAGTGCAACCAATGGGAGATGCCGTTTGGTCGATGCCTGCTAAAAATGTGATTAGAATGGCCAGCAAAGCCACGCAGAGGTTGATCAGGACCAGGCGCTGGTTCCTGGCATGAGGACTGCGGGCACTTTGTCTTTGCTTCCTGGAATGAAAAAAATAAATAAATATGGCACAATTGTATACAATCCACAATATGTACCTTCTCGTAGAGTCACAGGGGGGTCGGGGGGCCAGGTCCTTGCCGATTTTAAAATCGTCTGACGTCTGAACGCGTAAATTTAAATCTAAACAACCAAACTGGAAACACTTAAAAGTATTTAGCTGGGCCAACATGTTTCAGACATGCATATTGGTACTTCCTGATATATTGTCAAACGTATCCTTGCTCAGTCATTCGATGACTTTAGGTTTAAGAGTTTAGTTTATAACATGGCCCAAAAGACCTATAAAAGAATTTAAAGCAAATTTATTGAAGGTTGGTCGGGTGAAATATTTGTACCTTCCCCACAAGTAAATGGAACTAGTTTGTAGTTTTATATTATTAGACTGTATTTGTTGGAACAGGCGGGCTTGTCAAATCTGAGGCCACAGCTAGTAAATTTTATTGTTGACATCCTTCGCCGACTCCAAATATAATGCGTTAAAATTTTGACATCATAAAACTTGTTAAACAAGAAATAATACCTATAAGTTAACTTTCAAATATGACAACATTCATTTCTCACTGAAACAACTTTTTCTATCATTGTACAAATGGTTTTGATTTATGTGAATATAACATATTTACAGCCACCATCACATATAAAAGGTATGAAATACATTGCATACTGTCTACACACTCCATATGTATCTGCTATCCACATTCCGGAATGACAACAAACATCTCTTCGGCATTTTGACCACAGTCAGAGGGCAACAATATTTGTCCCCCCCCCCCACATCAGGCGAAAATTAATGTGCAAGCTGATGTCATAAAAATTACTTGCTGTGGCCTAAAGAAAAAAAGAGAACAATGAAATACCTGGTACTGGGGCTATCTTTCAGAACTGAAATTAGAAACACAGGCCTACTAGTAAGTACTTACCTTGTAATGATGAAAGATAGTAGAGTGAGGACCAGGGTAATAATGGACACTATACTGCCCACATAAGTGATGGCTTCTAGTAGTCTTTCGTGCTCTCCAAACCCTGAACCATGCACATCCTGGGAGATTAAAAAGAATTTAAAAATTAAAACACATATTTAACAAGAAAAAATTATGAAAATATGTTGTTCCTATCTGGACTTATTGGCTTTTATACATTTCGCCAGAAAGTGCCCTGCAGTTCCAGAACAAGCTGCTAGGGGGACCAAACTCACACCACTTATTCCTGACGGGAAAAGGTATCTGTCACCAAAACCTCAAGACCATAGCATGTTCAGGACAAAGGATACAAAATCCGGAAGTTCTGCTGCAGTACCAAGGTCAGCCACCAGGAGGCCCATATTTGACCTTGACGTTTGTCTTCCTAAGACTTACCAACATACCAAATATCATCATAATCCATAAAGTCGTTCTGAAGGTATGCTGACCACAAAGTTGCGGAAACACACACAGTCAGACACACACACACACACAGACAGACATACATACATACATACATACAGACACACCAAAAACGATACCTCCATCTAAGGTGTTTTCGCACTATGCCTTCCAAGTATGCTTTCCAAGAGCATATACTTACACTAAGACTATATACCGCAAACTCGCAGCACACGTTAACAGTTCTCTTGGCCTTGGTATACATCACTGACCTGGGTTGACATGTACAAGGGCTGATAGGCTACTGCCGAGCGCGATCACAACAAAAAAAGTTCTATTACCTTCGTAAAGGAGGCTATGTTTTTGGTTTTGCCATGGAGGAGTTTCTGTGATCTTTGTCTGTCTGTATGTATGTATTAACAACATCATAACTCGAGAAGCTGCGAATGATTTTTAAAGATATTTGGCAAGTATGAGGCGGTTGTAGAAAGGAAGGTTAAGTTTGAAAATGGTTTACCTGATGTTTTCATACGGTACTGCAGCGACCTGTGTATAAATGTGTGTCGTTACGTCGGATAACATAACTAGAGAAGCTAGGGATGGTATGGTGTGGATGGTTAGAGACACAAGTTATAATGGGCCTCCAAGCGGGTAACTACAGTATCACAGTTAGCTTAAATTAACGTTTGAGTTAAATACTTGTAGAAGTGCCAGGTTCTATTTAAATAGTGGAAAGCTCCTGCAGCTGCAGCTGGAAGTATGTGGCGTGAGGTTGTCCCCCTAGCAGTTTGTCCTGGAACTACCGGGACAGCTGTATACAAAATACGGAGAGCCAAGGAAAATGAAAGTGTCTCGACAAATCAATACAGCGTAAGAGGGGCCCGAGTAGACCAATCAAGGTATCGCCTGATATTGCTGTGGTGACCTAGTTACATTCTCATTTAGATCTCATTTGTCTACCAAAACTTTTAATCAAACCCCTTCTGTTGTAATCATATATTATCTTTACAACCGGTGTACCAGATTTGTAGGCACGCGGTGCGGCGGCGGCTAGCTATATCACACCGAACAACCAGTTACACCCTACCTTAAGTTTGCACATCTAACTACTGAAAAGTTGTTCAAAGCTACATGTATTATGTCTCAACTGATGGCAGCTAGTTCCAGTCTACGGGTGATAGTTCTCGCAAAAAAAAACGAATTTTGAAACACCCTAATCCTTCCTTGATAATAGTATTCGAAGGCCTGACTATTTCTTGTTTTTTTCCTGAAGAGGGGGGGGGGGTACTTACTAGTTGGAACGCTAGGTTATTAGTCATTTCGTACACCATGCATAGTCGGTACTTTTTTCGCCTGTCTTTCAGCGATGCTCTATAGGTTTATTTTCATTTCTGTGACACTAGCACCCGGAGCCCATGACACTACCTCGTTATAAGCATTATGTCTTAACCGTCTGCATTTTTTTTATCTGCCCAAAAAATAGATTTGTCTGTAAAACTACAGGAGAGTTTGAAAAATAGGGCCCCGAGTAGACAAATCAATTTAAAAGCATTGTTTGAAGTTGGTGTGATAACCTAGTTACATTTCTAAGTTTCATTTCTCAACCCAACTTTTTTAATTATAATAATTTTGTTGCAATTAAATGTCATACTTTATAGGCATTATTTCTTATATTTGTCTGCCATGTAATTGATTTTTCCGCAAAATCCCAGAATAAATACGAATTCTTTCTGTGCTGGGCATTAGATGGAGCGACTTAATCCCTAATAAAAACATCAGCCTCCAAGCCAATCAACAACCAGCCCTCCATCATATGTAAACGCCGTCTTAGCTGGTTATAGGACAGCCTGTCAGACTCCCGCCTGTCAGACTCTCCAACCAGGTCCTACAGTGGTGCCCAGAAGGACGGAGAAAGAGGGACGTCCATTGATGAACTGGCAACAGGCAGTCGAGAGGGACATCCAAGCAGTTGGCTGCTGACAGAGAAAGCTGGGCTACTTTGACTACCTTATGCGTCACGAGACGCGGGAGCCTCTAAGTCTAAGTAAGTCTTCCTGTGCCCGATTGGGATAGGGTTTTAAAGAATTAGAAAAAAAAAACGAAAAAAAACCCAACAACATACTATTAGGGATATATAGAAGAGAGGTTCGGTGAGGAAGTAGTTATTGGAGTAAGTAGAGTTATAGGGAAACGAGCTTTTTAATTTATCAATATGTCAGCCAATACATTAGCAGGGTAGCGGACGCTGACGAGCGAGCGCAAATAAGACGAACAATGTGATAGAATAAGGAAGGTAAGTACATGTAGAAAAGTTAGTTGTCAATTTGCTAAAAAAATTGTGGGGCTTCAAAGTTGAGTTGTTTCTTTGCCTGTAAATGTTGAGAGAAATAACGATGATATAACGGAAATACGGTATCTTCACACTACAGGTTGAGCCTCCAGTGTCACGGGGGAACAACAGGCAAGGTCAGTGTGAAGACTTTGCCTTTTATTTTATTTATTGAAATTGCAACAGTGCAATACACGCGGAACAAAGACAGCTGTTGCTGGTGTTGTGTCCCGCACATAGAAACAGATACTGGACAATACTCATTTCCACTTGAGTCTAGTGGAGAAAGTCGTGTAAAGTGCCTTTCCCAAGGGCACAAGATCGGTGGCATGTCAGGACTCGAACCCGGGACCTCTTGATTCCGAGTCGCGCAATCTGCTGTTGTGCCACACGAACCCTCGACTTTGCCTTCTAAATTGTATGTAAAAAAGAATCACGGTTCTTAGAGGCAAATGCGCAAGTCTTGGCACATAGGCGACACCAACTCCGTTTGGTATCCTTATGACATGGAGTTATTAGGTGCAGTATCAACGATTAGCTGAAAGGCCCAAGAGCGCAACACCGGAGATGTCAGGAGATTGAACTTAATACGTCTTGGTTCCAAGCCAACCAGTCTGACCACTGCGCCACGCGATGCCACATAGGTTCTAGAAAAGAAGCATACATGTAGTATCAAATGGCGTTCGGGAAACAATGCGTCTTTCGGAAAGCAAGCGGTGCCTTGTTAATCGTCTTGGTTTGGGTTTCAGCTTGTACGGCTTTTGGCGGCTTCTGCCCCCAGCATTGTGAAAGAACAAACCTGCCTATACCTTTAGCTGAGCACATCCGATCTAATCTTGAAGGGGATTTGACAAGGCTAGTAACCCTTAATAAATGGACCGTGTGCAAGGATATAGATGGAACAGTAGCTGTACCTCAGGTAATTCCTTGCATTGGCAGGTACGCAACCGTGGTTGCAGTAGCGTGGTATCCAGTCGAACTCCTATCGGAAAAAACACTGGAGGGCCTTTGCCTTGAGTGTACCACGAACTTTGCCCTGGTGAAATGCGAAATCACAAATATTGAAGAGAATGTCCTGGCCAGATCTTCTAACCTATTGATGTTGGTACTAGACTTCAACAAAATCACGTGTATCAGGCAAAAGTCGTTCTCTGGTTTGAAACGTCTCCACACGCTGAGCTTGTCCAATAACAGAATTGTAAGTGTGGAAACTGGTTCTTTTATGAACCTTAGTTTGCTTGAGGTCTTAAATCTGCAGAATAACAATCTGCAGACAGTACACCCGGACTGGTTCTGTACGCTTCAGAACCTGGCGGAGCTCCGATTGGAATCAAACGACATTCCTTCGGGTGCATTCCAGTACCTAAATGACCTCGACGATTTGGCTCTAGGTGGGAACTTTCAATTTTTGGACGGGGACACTTTCTGGGGGACAAAAAGCATTCCTTCCATTCTTCGCGTTGTCGGCGGAAGGTTGGGCTTTGTTCGTACCATGGTGGTGCATGAGAGGGCGTGGAGCCTTCTTGTCCACAATCACAAAACTGATCGTGAGTCGCCTCACATCAGGAGACAGGACGTGTCACTAAGGGTCTCCAGGTACCTTCTCTGTTTCACCCATGACCCGTTTAACCACGAACAGACTTTGACGTGGAAATATAACGAATACGCATATTATGACCCCAGGAGTGTTCCAATGGAAGACAATTCTTGCGGCATGCCAAACAGCCTCTTGACAACGATCGACAGCCATGCAAACTTTCTTGTCTTGTTGAAGACTGGATATTCCAACCAATACACACCCAGCGATGACACTGCCAGGTGTAGACAGGGGTGGGAACATAATAGTGGATTGATTATGGTTTTAAAGGGTGGTTTGCGTATACGATTCGCTTCCATATTAGAAGGAAACGAAACCAAAGCCCTTACCTTTACTTTGGATAGAACGACGCAGAGCACCAGTACAAGTAACTCAGCCACTGGAAGCATGAATACGTTCAGTCAAACAAACGTTAGAAACATAACCTGCTTCATACTGGCCAATGGAAAAACGAGTCGCATGGTGCTCGATGTATCTGAAGAAAACGGAATGAGGTACAGCAAAACATATCCAGATTCCGGCCAGCAGGCACCTGCGCCGAAGAACCAGACTCTGCTAGTGCAGACGTCACATCATCAGACCACTACGTCACCGGCTTTCACTAGGCAAGCTAGTACTATCTTAAGCAGACCGGCCCACGAGGACATTTTGATCTATGCTGCCTCTTCGCTGGTGCCGTTACTAGGTCTATGTCTAGCACTCGCCGCTGCGATGCTAAAGACGTTCGTAATCTTCAAAAATAAGGAGGACCAATGTCGTATCGTACCGCGTGCGAAACCTGGGCGGGCAAGGTCTTCGTCCCTCCCCGCCATTTCGCAGCAACACGGCGGCGTTCCACACCGCCAACTAACATCTTGCAGATCGCTGCCTACAAACCTTAGTTCAATCGAACCCAACTACTCTGAGATCCCAGAGGACACTGACCATGCACTTCACACGTACTGGGAAATCCCAGATGGCGGTATGTCTGACGTGACCAGATCGGCCTCATTTAGGAAGATTCCTACTATAACTCGCACACGGTTGGAAGACGCAGTCTCCTATCAGTCGCTGCCTGCTGCCCTACCCTCCACCGAACAGACGTATTGCAACATTCCAGACAGCGCCGAAGATGGCGAAGATGCGCCGTTGCCTTACTATGCTGTTGCCGTTGATTTGACGCTTCCTGTAGTTACGGGAAATGGGCAAGGCCTAGGCAGCATTTACCTCGGCAACCAGCACCAAAATTCACATAAGACTCGGTATGACAGACTGAGATCCCATCGTGTGACGTTCTACGGAAAGACAAGGAACACTCGTTGTTACCATAGCAGCTTGGGCAGACGTTCACTCCATCTCAGGAAGACCTCTATGCAAAATAAAACTGTGTATGGAAGATCCAAATCCCACCGAGTAACGATATACGGAAAGGCAGATGATGCTCCAAACAGACAAGGCATGCCAGCTCATGCAAAACCGCCAGCTTCTAGTTCACAATCGACGCAGGGACAACTTCATCAGAACGTTCAACTAAATGATGCAGCTTTACAGACCTCACAACCAAATTCCTACCGGCCATGGCAAATCGTCGATGGTGAAGGCCACTGGCGTAACTCATGGCGATCAGCATCCCTTCCCGAACTACTAAACAGGACAAAGGAGCTCCAGAGTAAAGATGACAGCACCACACCAAGGCGAACGTCCTTCGACATACCTCAAAGTACCTACCGCCCATCTGGGGCACTGTTAAACTACTGGCCATGGAAGATTGAAAGGGGTCCAATCACACTACGACGGCATGCGTCCCTACCTTTGCTCCGCAGTACACCGCAAAATGAAGTCACATCAAACCAAATACAAACAAACACCTACTGGGAAGTGCCATTCACATACCCGTGGGAAGTGCCATTCAACGCACATTCTAACCCATTACCTTTGGAGCGTCCGATACCCACTGTACCAAACACCTACTGGCCATGGGAGATCGCAAATGGCAGCAATCCAGGTCTCCTGAAGAGGACGCCCCTTCCTTCCTGCGATGAGACAACGCGAAGTGAAGCCCCTCCACAAATAAACACCTACTGGCCTTGGGAGATTACTGCTGTTGGACAGTTTAACGCACCGGATCCTGAGCCCATGATTCCCATAGTACCAAGCAAATAATAGTAAAAGCTTCAAACACCACAAAAACAGTTTCAAACCTGAAACATATGAAGGCTTGTGTCGTAAGATGTCGACTCCTTTAATGGAGGTTGCTTTTAGTCTGTCGCGCGGAAATATATTGCAATTTTGTCGCCTGATGGCCCACATAGCCCAATTTTAATGTCTCGTCTTAGAGGATTGCGGAAAAATTATTATCACACGTTTCAAGTAGAATTCAATAATTTTCGTCAATGACTAACGGAATCTCTGGTTCAACAAGTATTAATCTATAAGCTCTGAATTGACGTGTAAATTGAAATAACGATGAATTGAGGTGTAAATTATGCATATGAAAGCAATAATTTAGACAGAACATATAAGAAAAAAAAGTAAGACCTAACTGGCTTATCGCTGCTAAAAAGTAGTGAATGCTACCTGAAACGTCTCACAATTTCCAAAACCTATTCATTTGCTTGAGTAATAGTTTTCTTGTACATTTTATACCTGGATGTCTAACCTTCAAGGACGTAACCGTAAGGGTATTTGGATACGTGCCTATTGTGAATATAGAATTAGCCTGACTTACGAAGAGCACAGCGAAGTTAGTGAGGTGGTTACAGGTGCACGTGTACCGTCCGTTGGCCTTGCCCTGACTCATACACCCATCTGATGACCACGCCCCTTGTCCTGCATCAGCCTCAAAGTCCCAGAAAACACATCTCACCACTTTAACTTCTTCATCAGAAACTTCCTGGAAATAAGAAATAAAATAAGAATATGTAGGTTTTATTCATTCAAAAAAGTTTTTGCATACTCAATTTTCATACATGTCATTAAATATACTATCTACCAATTTCAACATAAGGCCACACCAATTTAATTTGTTGGTTCTCGGATTTTTTCAGGAAAAATATGAAGCGACAGGGCGAAAAAAAATAAAAATAAAAACAGATCTAGGCATCCTATTATAGCCCCAAATGCTACGATAGGAGGTATGAAGTCAACACAAAAGGCTGGTTCAAAATTTTAGCAATGAATTTTTAACTTCTAATGATACCACTGCATTGAAAGATTGAATAAATGTAACGACTAGGAAAGAAAAGGACTGTTTTCAACTGTTCAGGGCTAATTATGAGCATTTTGCAGTTGATTATTAAATTTTTTTTTTGGAAATCAGGAAAAAATGAAGAGGCGAATTCGAGAACCAACAAATTAAATTGGTGTGGCCTAACTACATTTTGTACTCAAAAGTGAGTAATTCTTAAGAATGTCATCAACGCGTGCATTAACCCTACCTAGACCGGGCTTTTTTTGACATGGGGGGACCGGGGGGGGGTCTCTTTGACCCCCCCCCTAAGAACTCGCGAACAGTATATCGTATGACCACCAAATTTTCAGAGAATGGTGTACTAGTGAAAATTTATCATATCTACAATTTTTATGTCGTTATGACGTATTATGACGTCATTATGACGTCATTAATGTGATTTTATTGGCCAAAACCGTCTAAATAGGTTTTTCCCTGAAAACTAAATGGTATTCAACATAACTGTACCAAAAGTGTTTGTGACAGAATATTATTGTGTACTAAGTTTTATGTTGCCCATAGCAACACCGGTGACGTCATAAAATGACGTCATGCATATTTTAGATAGCCGCCATCTTGGATCATCAATCTTGAATTTCAAAAATAGTTTTTTTTCATGATAAAGCCTAAAATACATTGTAAACAGACCAAAGACGTTCATATGAACCTTTTTTGTAAAAAGAAATGTGAGTATTGATGAAATTTTAATGAAAATAACCCGTATATACCTGTTCTAATGATATGGTCCGCCATCTTGGATTTTGGCCAATGACGTCATCAAATTAGCATAAATTATGCATATTTAATAATAAAATTTACATAAAATTATATGGGATGTTATTAATATTAGAAACCATGAGTAACTTGACATAAAACTCATAAAATTCTATTGTTGAAACAAAAAGTACTAAATTTAGCAAAAAATGCCTGTCAGAAACCCGTTGCCATGGCAACACAAAAAATTATAATCTTATTCCAATGATAGAGAATTGTTGCCAACAATATTTTAGGAAAAGTCACCAAGTTTCGCCGTTCTACGGCTAGCCGTTCAGACGCTAGGTGACATCAAAGTTGCCGCGGGCACTTTTAGCCCCCCCCGGTCTAGGTAGGGTTAATTGTCGCCTGATTTGGGAAAAAAAGACAAGAAATTTTGTTGCCCTCTGACATGCCAAAAATGGGTAAATATGTCTGTTGCCATGCCAGAATGTGAATGGAAGATAAATTTGAACAGAGGAGACAAGACAAGGCTCTGATTTATTGTTTGTCTTTTACTTTGCTGCAGTGATGTATTTCATCCTTTTATGTGTCATGTTCTCAATGAATCGAAAAAAAATTGTACAATATCAACTAATGATTAAAAACTTTTTTTGTAGTGACAAATGGCACAATCAAAATATTTGTATTATTTCTTGTTCAACAAGGTTTATGATGTCAAACTTTTTTTTCTTGTTTTTTGGCCTGCCTTTTTCACCCTATCGCATTAGATTTGGAATCTGCAAAGGATCTTCAATAAAATTTACTTGCTGTGCCCGTATACATACAAATCACAGGTGTACATAGTCTAGTAATTTCTCCCGCCCGCTCCATTATTTGTCTAGAAAAATCCGTTAATCAAGAAATAAAATTGGTGTGGCCAAAGCCATAGTGTAAAAAAATAGAACAACGTGCACAATACCTCTGTGGGTGCAAAGGTGATGACAACTGGCTCTGGTAGGTTCTTCACCTGCATCCCTGCAACTCTACCGCTAATGATGTGGGTTCGCACGGCATCCTGGGAAGGCTGAACAAACAGGCTGTCGTCGTTGTACAGAATGTAGCTCACTCGGACGTCTGGGTAGGGAAAGAAGGGTGTAACTAAAGTTAGGAATAATTTCTGGTGTGTATAAAAAAATCCCAATTGCCTATGTTCTACCAACTTTATTAAAATATATATGTAGGTTTCAGTTTAACTAAGATTATGTTCCATTTACTTCGAAAGTTCATCTGTGTTCACTTGTTAGAAGTCATTTCGAAGCAAGTATTCACTGTAATTTCTACATTGTCCATTCCTAAATAAAGATCGGAGTTGTACGGTCGAACATTTGTGTGTTGGAAATTTCATGTTACAGTTCAAATGTGCTTGATTATTTTTATTTTAGCTAGTCATCTAGTGTATGCGCAGGTAATACAAGCCATCTACGAAACGCAGTTCATGGTTTGTTTGAAAGCTTTAAGGGTTAATGAACCACCCAGAGGTATATATGGAGGGATAATGCATTGTCAAAATCGTGTTTCCGAGAGCCACACCTTGAGTATGCTAAAGGTCCCACTTCATCCGCCATCCGCGGATTTTTTACGACGTATTTTTACGACGTAGTTCAGCCATCGACGTACATATTTCAAATACGGCGTAGTTAGCCATCCGCGTATTTTGAGGAAAATATGACTTTAGTTTGAGCCATCCGCGTATTTTGAGGTAATACGACATAGATGACTACGACGTATTTTGTAGGTTCCTCACACGCAATTAATGCTAGCATCTGGGCCTTGAACTACACATTAGCCTCATTGCCTCTCGGGCTTGGCATCTTGAAGGGTGAAAGTGACTTGTTATGCCAATCTTTACACATATGTGGTAAATCTCATGAAATTAAGATATAAAATACCTGTTGTGTTGTCTAAAGGTAGTACGTTCGAGAGTTTGGCAGGCAGACTGATGGAGACATCAATGTCAGCAGTCTGTAAAAAGCCCTCTCTTTCATCCTCCTTGGTAAAGCTGAACAGCCGGCCTTCACTCAGGCTGTTAGAACTGTTTCCATTCAGAAACAAGGCAAGTCCTGTGGTAAAACAAGAGTTTCAGAACAATATCAGCCCTCTGTATTAAACCCCATAGTATGCAATAAAGCATGCCTAAAGGCACCCCTTTCATGTTGTTTAGTCGCCTGAACCAACGGAACCTTTTCTCATGTTTTGATACATGCCTAAGCCCATGTCACATATATTCACGACGTTTCCCAAAATCTGTTTCTAAATACCAGCCAACCAGGGTTGACCCAGCTTACCTTTCTATACGAATCAAATTTCAGTTAAATTGGAGGCAAATTTGACCATTTTCCCGTGTCTAAAATTGGCCAAACTTTCAGCATGTTAAAGATCCCATCTTTCTAAAAAGAGTAGGGGCTCTTTTTTGTGTGACCATGTGAGTGATTCAAACCTTACAGTCTGGTCTCAGGTATGTGATATTCACCTGTCATGTCAATAATTCAAGAAATATAGTAAATAATATAAATTTAAGAAGTTAAAATAAAATATAAATGTTTCCTTTTGTGGTGTTAAATTATAGCCTATTCCACACTGTCTCTTCACTGGTTTCATGACATAATAATCCGAAAACAAAACAATCTCCGATTGACTCTCATCCTGACCTTGGCCCTGATCAAATTCCTGCACACTGACGTCAGCTGCCTGCAGTGCCACGTCCTGTCGCTTGGAGGTGAACCTGTCTGTACTCAGATCCACTCCGTCTGCAAACATCTCCAATGCATGAAGAACTCTGCATGAGGTAAAATATTGTCTGCATTCTACTTGGCTGTAACGAATACAACGTAGTTTTTTTTCTCTTTTGTCAATACAAAACAACACGTTCAACGTAGTGATTTTCTATTTTGTCAATATAGATATATTCAATGTGTTAAAAGTTGTAATGTTGTCTTATATTGGTTTAATTATCCAAAACGCATACAATATCGATGCACATACATTAGCAAAATAAGGTATCTTTGATAACTTTGTGACGTTACCTTGTTGGGGCTCTATCGGTTTGATGGCTATCCAGAAGCACAGTTTCGTTGACCTTTATGAAGTTATCTGCAATTGTCAGAATGGATTCTCCAATCTGGAGAATAGAAATATTATACAGTTTACTGCAAGTTCATGATCGAGGGGCTAATTGCTGGTAACAAGGACATATGAAGATCGATTTACATGATGAGTACAAACATAATACCGCACCCCTGTGAATAGTTTTTTTCAGGTTGGTAAATAACTGTTTGAATGTATTTTCTCGTTAACGTGCAAGGCAATAATATACATTGCGAGCTACATTCTTTTATCAAAATTGCTCTAAGTTCTAATAGCAACGTCTTTAAGGCGACACAACACAGTATTAGCCCTATGGGGATTTCTATAGTTAAGGACCCCAAAGTGACTCACTTCGACTCACTGAAAATCATAGTAGGGTGCACAAGCAAGGTTCAGATTTTGTTTAATTTCAGGGTATAGTGTACAAAATATGTGAAAATGAGCTTAGATTTGCCGGCTAGTTCTTTTCTCATGCCCTCTTTATTAGCGCCACTGCAGAGGTCATGGAACTGCAGCCGAGGCACAGTACTAGGCGGGACAAGTATCCAAGCGCAAATCTACGCCGACTGAACACGCACCATAATTCAACTTTTACAGTCTCAAAACTGACGTATTCCTCTAACATTTACCACAGGTTCTATCTCAATGACATGCACAAAACAATCTCTGCACCCTTCTCTAGTATTGTGCAGCACTACTTTGTGCCCGGACTACTTTTGACTACGGGGTTCGCCCATTAATACTGTGTTGTGCGGCCTTAAGCACGCCTTGAATCATGTGTAAAGATATACGTGAGCGAAGAAACAAAACCTATACGCATGTTGGAAGGTATGCGTCAAAATTGATTTTGTGTAGTGCAACTGAATAATGTTTCTACAACTGCCGATGCAAAACCCAGCATGCAGTGGGTGTTGATGATGATTAAATAATGTTTGTAAAACGACTTGATTTAAAACAATGTCAGAGAGGATGGCAGGTGGTAAAAAAAACGAAATTGTAAAGTAAAATCTGACCTGCTCAGTGCCGCTGGCGTTGACTATTTTGTGTAATATGTCTGTAATGGTGCTAACATCACCAGACGAGAGCGTTTCGGCCTGTGTTGTGATCACCTGAAGTTCCGTTGCCACAGACAGAGCTGTCTCGTTGTTCACTACAATCTGCAAAATACATAACAACGTCCGTTGCAGTAGGAGAAAGCGCTTGAAGGAGCTATTTAAACCATCCCAAATATTATCCTAATTGCTACATACCCTTTTGAGATATCATTTTATTACGTTGGTGTACTTGGGACAGTTTGGTGTAAATGCGTACCTGACACAGTTCGGTGTTAACACATAGGACAGTTTACCTGGGACAATGTTGTGTCACAATTACTTGGGACAGTTTACGTGGGACCTAAAGACTTACCTGAGACAGTTTGGTGTAAACACTTATCTGGGACAGTTTGGTGTAAACACCTGCCTGGACATATTGGTGTAAGCACGTGGGGTAGTTTGCTGTAAACACTTACCTGGGACAGTGTTATGTAACAATTACTTGGGACAGTTTACGTGGGACAGTTTGACGTAAACACTTACCTAAAACAGTTTGGTGTAAAAACTTACCAGGGACTTTTTGATTTGAACACGTACCTGGGACAGTTTGGTCCAAACACGTACCTGGACAGATTGGTGTAAACACTTACCTGGACAGATTGGTGTAAACACTTACCTGGACAGATTGGTGTAAACACTAACCTAGACAGATTGGTGTTAACACTTACATGGGACAGTTTGGTGTGAACACGTACCTAGAACAGTTTGGTGTAAACACGTACCTGGGACAGTTTGGTGTAAACATTTAGGTGGGGCACTTTGATACGTACCAGAGACAGTTTGGTGTAAATACGTACCAGAGACAGTTTGGTGTTAACACGTACCTGGGGCAGTTTGGTGTAAATACGTACCTGAGACGGTTTGGTGTAAATACGTACCTGAGACAGTTTGGTGTAAACACGTACCTGAGACAGTTTGGTGTAAACACGTACCTGGGACAGTTTGGCGTAAACACTTACCTGGGACAGTTTGGTGTAAACACGTACCTGAGACAGTTTGGTGTAAACACGTACCTGGGACAGTTTGGCGTAAACACTTACCTGGGACAGTTTGGTGTAAACACGTACCTGGGACAGTTTGGTGTAAACACGTACCTGGGACAGTTTGGTGTAAACACGTACCTGGGACAGTTTGGTGTAAACACTTACCTGGGACAGTTTGTTTTAAACACTTACCTAGGACAGTTTGGTGTAAACACGTACCTGGGACAGTTTGGTGTGAACACGTACCTGGGACAGTTTGGTGTAAATACGTACCTGGGACAGATTGTGTAAGTCAGTGTCACACCTGAGGACGACCGGCTGGTCCCACACTGCAGTAACTGTTGTATTTTGTGTGACCCGGCAGAAACGAGTAGCCAGGGGCTTCTCTGTGGGGTACAATATGGACTGTATAATGCATGGTGGTCTATAAATTTCTATAAAAGGCTAAAGTACTGAGTTCGAATCTGAAACAAGTCCCAGCGTTTCCCCCTGGAAAAGTCAGCTTTTAACATTTATTTCCGCACTTGGATCTGGTGGAAACAAATAACTAGCTGCAATTAAAAAAACGTCCCCATGGCTGATAGAACGTTAGGTAGAAGGTTTGTATTTTGGCGTGTTTAAGGAGAATCATGGTGTCCTTACTGGATCAATCATGTCACTCTTTCAAAGTTTCTACTTAATCAACGTACAAAGCTGTTATGTTCACATGTAGAGGTTATGCAAACAGACAAAATGTCGTTTCTATGCGTCTGTAGTTATCATCTTTGCTCATAACAGTGATCGAGATGGTGTACCCTTGAAACTATTTCTCTGAATTTGAAACGCACAAATGAAATTAACAGGATTCTGCTCTATTTCATAAGTGCCTATTTCTATCACATGATTTTGGTCCAAATCCACGCTGTTTACCAGTCACAAAACAGCTACACACGTAAACACACGTAAACATTTATTAAAGGCTTTATAAATAGGGTCATTCATTTATCTATATGTACATTCAGCTTACGATAGCTGTTTTCAGTACATACAGTATATTAGTACATAAAACACAGTCAAAACAGAATCATGAACCCAAAATCAAATTCCTACCCATTTTATAGGAAAAAAAGGTCAAAACTTGGAGGTTAAATTTTCGTACCATTTTCTGCGGACGAGTTACACCGTTCAGCAGAGTAGTTGAAACTGCCGCCGTCTGTACGTGGAAAAGTCACCTGTCCGGCTTCGGTCTCAACAGACTCCTCTTTACAGTAGTCTGTCGTAATGAATGATAATCATGACTCAATATATCGAGTAAATACAAATAATTGACAAGCAAAATTTAAAAAAAAGGACTTCTTTGATAAGAATCTCAAAGGACAACATCTGTGAAAATATGATTTCATGACGATAGGGATGATTTATTTGCATGACAAGATACATCATTCGTCAGCTATAAAGGTAAACATCATTTAACAAGTATGTCAGATCATCTAGAAGAGAATACCGGTGAGTGAATATATTAAAGGCATCCAAAGCAATTTCAATATCAGTAGCACGGGATTTGATTTTCAAAGCCAGTTGTTCGGCCATTCTTAAATGTGGCATGTGAAATGGACCTTATCCCACAGCATGCTGATATCTGTAAGAAAAAACGACTTATCGTTGATAGAAAATTCCATATCGTAGGCTGGTTCTAGACATTTATTGGTGATACAAAAAAAGGACTCCTGACATAGCTTGCTTTTCCTTACAGGAAAAGCTATCTGTTACCAAAAATTCAAGACCACAGCATGTTCAGGACAAAAAATAAAAAAAGGAAGTTCTGCTGCAGTACCAAGGTCATCCACCAGGAGGCCCATATTTAACATTGGCCTTCGGCTTCCTAAGACTTACCCGCATACCAAATATCATCACAATCCATAAAGACGTTTTAAAGTTATGCTGACTACAAATGTGCGGAAACACAAACACACAGACACACACACGTACACACACACACACAGAGAAGCGCCAAAAGCAATACCTCCATTTTTCATGGAGGTAACAAGCCCTTACCACAGACTGGCAGGTCACACAGCTCCCATCTCTTTGCGGGGTCCGTGGTGTAGCACCAGATCGCCGACCAGTCATCAGGATTGCGGCAGTAGTTCTCCACCAGCCCGCCCGCCGGGTAGTTACGGGCTGTCCTGTCGTGTCCATGGGGTGTCTGACGGTCCAAGCGCTGGCACGTCCGGCCTGTTTCGGTCACAGCGAGGGTTCCTCGGTAGGACGCTCCATTGCCCACCTGGCACGTCTCTTCTACATAAAAAAGCATCAAGCATGAGGCTTAGGAACATGTAGTATACAAGAGTTCCTAGATCTCAGTCCTTAATGAAATATGGGCTTGATATGCATAATTTACATTCAATAGCGTAGATACCTGTCTAAGCTACCCACATGGCAAAAATTAGATAAATACAATGTGAATTTATCTGCTCTGAAAGGTTTCACCTGAAACACCCTGCAGTTCCAGAACTAGAAGGTATTTAGAATACATTTGAATGCTTGTATAGTGTGAGCCAAAAAAAATGAAATAATATGTAGTTTTCCGATCCCGGCTAATCACTTACAGTTACAGTTCAGCAATGTGAACATTGAAATGTCAATAATTTGTATTTTTATCCAGTTGAAGATTTCATTAATGTGTAAACAGTATAAGCAGTAATATTGGAGTGTTCTGTACAGAATATGACTATTCATTCATATCTGTTGTAGCAATGATAGCTCGATCAGTATCATAAATTATCAATCTTTACATATTCACAATCTATAACTATTATTGATATGCACATCATCATCATTATTCTACCGAATTTTCACATTAATTATGCAAATTAGTTCATCATTTGCATAATTGGTATCTGTTGATCAGGGTTCTAGCGAGCCTGGAATTTGTTCCCGTCATCCCACCTGTCGAGTGCTGAATGGGGTTTCCGGGGAAATTTTGTAATCTGGACCCTCTGAAACGAAAAGTTTCGTTTTCACAATCACCAATTTCAAAACTGAATTCTAAAGAACTAACTACTCCCCTTTTTAAGAACATACAGAAAAATTCCACACAGAATATAGTATTTATCTCATCACCCCTGTTTAACGTTTAGCTAATCAGATGGGGCCACTTGAATTCTCTTTCGGTGGAAACCACATGCAACGCGCTTTCACTGATTTCATCTGAACAGGGCTATAGTGGGCGGTCGAGCTTAGGCCGTATGTCTTGATCTGAAGGTCGACAAATTTTCTCGGCTGATGATCTTTCTTCTGTGTGAAAGGGTCTCTGTGTGAAAGGGTCTCTAGCGAATGGAGACTGTCTGGCCAATTTGATACGTCTTTTTCCACGCTAGGATCTGATTGGGGATTAATATCTAAAGCTACGTTTCTTCTATGCTTTCAGTTTGACAAGTTATGTGCAAAATACGGTGGCCCGGTGTCCAGTCTACTGCCGAATAGGAGTATTCCGTATGCACATATTGTGATTTTGTAATAGTTTATTTTTGCAATGGGTTGATATTGCAATAGTCCATATATTACATTGGAAATAGATTTTTGGGTTGAGATATTCATTGTGATGTCTGACCTCAAATTTTCTGCCATGGAATGCCAAAATACTAACTTTAGAGCAGTGATTATTTTTCTAGCATGGCTTTATGCGTAGTTTAATGCATTGAAGTGACAGAAAAGTAATGCAGATGACCAAATGTTGACATTCAGGTCTCCATATTTCTAGGTATAGGGGCGTATTTCACCAAAAACTGCATTTCCCCCCAAAATTTTACCTCCCCTATAGCTATGAAAGCATTACGTTTCCAACCTGTCACAATCTTCGCCCGCATGGAGATGTGCCCATGCCATGTTTGCGGATGGATTTTGACGAAGCGTGCGGTTATGCGGCCACTGAAGTCTCTGAAGTCGTTGTAGACCTCCGTGTCTCTGTCGTCATTCGCCGGAAAAACCTGCAGCATTTAAAGACATTGACTATATGCCAAGAATATCGAGCCCTCTTTAGAAACAGCTACATCCACACTTTAAGAAGTTCAAGTTTATCTAACGACAAAGTATACTGGCAAAGGAAACAAACCAATACAAACATAGAAAAAGTTTCAATGTTTCATGATATAACTTATATCTTTCTTATTACTAAAACAGCAAGGGTAGCATAAGTCTGTGATATAGTGTTACAGTCAATATAATTGAGGCTAATCATGGTATAAAGATATATTGAAATCTATCTGTAGCCCCGGTTCTCTTGAAATCTGAAATCTGTTGTTATAGAATAAAGAAATATACATAGCTGACGCAAAACATTACATCTAGAGCATTCCATGACAAAGTGAAATTAATATTCAATTTGCTTTGCACAAAATGGGCAAAGTCATGGGCTACATTTATATATATTTATAGTATCTGCCTGTTTCTACATTCAATGTAGGAATACGATTTTAGCATGCAAATATCTTAGTAGATAGCTATCCAACTAAAAGGAGGAATGATTCTTACAGTAACTTGCCCATCAGCATTGGTGTAGAACTTCTCATCGCCATTTTCATCGCCGTATGAAATGATGTAGGATGTGACGTATTGGTCATATATGCCGGAGTTCCTGCCTTTGGTGATGATTCCGGTAATGACGCTCACGTCGCCAAAGTCCCTCATCAGCCATTGGTCCTGGTCATTGGTTGCTGCTGCCCATGCACCTGCTGCATCTGCAGTCTCGCGAGTGTTGATATCTGCACGGTCAGCTGAGTGACCTGAATCCCACTCCGAGGATGCTGACCAGGATGGAGATTCTAAAACAAAGAAAAACATCACGTTTGTTAACTAAATATGAAGCCAGAGCTATAGTTACTTTGACTATCAGCGTATAGTTTACGCACATATTTTAGACTGGTTTATTCAGCAAAGAAGACCAGAAACACTAACAAGCTTCGATCATTCCTGGCAGCTGCGATGGCTGAATTGCGAGGAATGTTTTGACAAGACATTTCGACAAAATATGTACTTTTATCAATTTTAACAGAGTAGATTACATTTAAAACAGCGATTAAAATCTATACAGCGTATTCAGTCAGGTGACCCTCCTTGTAGCAACTGGCCGGGCTGCAACGAGCAGGCTGCCCCCATGTTGAGGTACAACATATTGCCGACTTGGGGATGTACCCCAACATTACGGCGTACGGGGACAAGGCCGTCACATGAAACACCCTATAGGGGCATCAGAGCGTTATTACACCTTCAGTACGGAGTAGTAATGAAATAAACAAATCAAAACACAGGGTAGATTTACAACAACAACCTCTGTGAACATCTTTGAGTTCAGAACCTGCCAACCCGGTCAAAATGGGTTAAATCACAAGGTTCGATTGGGTTCCAAAGGTGAAAGTGGGTTCTGACGTAATATAAGTCCGTGTACCACAGTTCATTCAGCCGTTTGACCAAACTAAGCATATCGACTTACCATGCATGTGAACTTCAGCCGAAATCCTTCACCACTGCCCCCACTTCAGATCAGTGAAATACCTTTAGCTGTTGTGCCCTGTTTGAAGGTGCTAGGACTACACAAACAAAACGACCTCTGATGGGACAAGTCAACTCAATGTCAGGGGCAGCCTCCGAGAAACTCTACCTCTTGAAACGCCTGAGAAGATTCAGCCTGTCTACAGCTGACTTGACAACGATTTACACTTGCTACGTAAGGCCCATACTGGAGTATGGTGTACCAGCCTGGTCCCCTGGACTCACACAATCCCAAGTTGGTAAACTGGAAAGGCTACAGAAACGCGCGTGCCGTAACATCCTCGGGGACTCATACACAACGTACTCCTGTGCACTTCAACGTCTTGAACTGACTACGTTAGCTGAAAGAAGAGAGCAGCTATGTGTAAAGTTCGCAAGAACACTGTTCACGTCAGAGTACAGGGAATGGCTACCCCCTACGAGAAGAGAAGTCTCAGGCCGTGCAACCAGAAACTCCCAGAAACTGAACTGCCCACGGGCCAGAACAAACCGTTACAGTAATTCCCCTATCCCATACATGTGTTCATTACTGAACAAATACGGACAATAATCATCCCTAACCGTCTATATATAATGTCTGGCATTTGTAAATTTCGTTTATACTGTTCTTCGTGAAATCAAACAACTCTTAACTTGTATATTTTGAATTTATTTACTTTTGACCATGAGAAACTGAATAACTCCAAATATTGCGTGTACATTTTTTAAACGTTTTTATGCTGTAACTAAAAGATTTTAGTCTTACGAGCAGTAATATACTTCCCTGCAAACAAGTATTCTTAACCAAAGGATTCAGAATTATGTGCAATATTATATGTCTTTGTGAGCGTTTTTAAAACAAATTGTCTGTAAATGGACTGCAATTCAGTGGTATTTTCACTGCGATAGCTCAATAAAGATATCTTGAATCTTGACTGCCAGCATTAAGAGGGTCAAAATTTCAAACTTTGGCATGATGTTACGTCAATCAAAATTGAAATGATGAAATAATTTAAGGCTGGCTAAACCACTGAATCATACACATACTCAGGTATGCTGCCCCCTGTTGGAGCTCAGCTGATTTGCTGATTTTTTCCATCGAAGATGACGGATTAAGCAACTTTTTGTCCGTCCTGAGCATTAGAATCCCGTCAAATGACGGAAAGACGGACACTGGCTAGAACAGTGCTGTTGATGTTCCGCTTGCCACAGATTAATAGATTACATGTATATGAAACACTGTAATTATAGAATTTCCTCATTAATTATGCAAATTAAGTCCTCATTTGCATAATTTGCATTTAATCATGTACAACTGTCTCTCAGGTACCTACACACCAAAAATGATTAAAATACGTTGTTCCAATCTGGACTTATAGGCTTTAAAAGTTTTAACAAGAAACTAACCTGCAGTTCCAGAACAAGCTGCTAGGGGGACCAAACGTACGCCACTTTTCCTGACAGGATAAGCTATCTGTCACCAAAAAGTCAAGACCATAGCTTCTTCAGGACAAAAGATACAAAAACCGGAAGTTTTGATGCAGTACCAAGATCATCCACCAGGAGGCCCATACTTGACCTTTGTCTTTCCAAGACTTACCATCATACCAAATATCATCACAATCCATAAAGGCGTTCTGAAGTTATGCTGACTACAAAGTTGCGGAAACACACAGAGACACACACACATACATGATCTCTCATGTCATGCTGTTTACAAAGCGCAGACAGACACACAGACAGATACACACACACACGTACAAACTCTTCCGAAATGATAACATTCCTAGCAAAGGTAATAATGCACCGTCAGTTATCACAGAAAGTTGACTTAGGCCATGTTGATTTGATTATATGGATGACATCTGCGCGCGCATGAATTTTCGGCCGTTTCCAAAAAAAAAAAAGTTTTCAACCATACTGTAAATCGTACAAAACAGTTGCAAAATGAGCAAATATATACCGTTAGTTGCAAAAGGAATATTAAAAAATGATACCAATATCGCAAATTGCCAACATATAAAAAAAGACCAAAATGTAAAGAGAAATGAATTTAAAGAGTAGATTATTCACCAAACCATACACTGTGTCATTTTTTCAACCTTCATGACCACGTAGATTTCATAATGAAAGCAACTTTTTTTTTTTGCAAAACTTTTTTTTATTCGCACGCGCGCATCAGTTTTGGGGTTCCCAGAGGATGTCATCCATATAATCAAATCAACATGGCCTTAGGTAAAAAAACAAATGGAGTCTGGAATATGTCACGAGCCATGCAGTTTATCGGAAAAAGACATTTGAAACTCCGGAAGGACAAAAGTTCACGGTCAGTGTGCTGATACCCTGGAAGCCAAACTCGTTTTCCGGGCCGCAAGAGCCCTTTATCCGCTGGTGTGAATTACAACTACGGGGGACTCTAGCCCGGGGGGAGTTTGGTTGGCCCCACAACCTCCCACGGGCTCAATTCCACCGCAGCGGTAATTTAGGTCTGCGGGCGAAGGGCTTCTGTCTGCCGAAGGAAACGGCTAGCGGCCCGTAAACTTTGCTGACACCCAGGGTAGTGTGCTGATCGACCCTGCAACCTCTGCGTTGGCGATTTGCCATGTGGACTGTGAATCTAAAGGTTCTACCACTACGTTCTGACGTACTGTGTCAGAGATATATAAAGGGAATCAACACCAATTCCATTGAATTTCCTGAATTACCTGTCCAGTCACGTCACCGCTTAACGTCTGAGTCATGTGAATGAGAAAGTTTCAGAATCTGCGCTCTACAACTGCAAGTCGTATCAGTTTAAATCCTTCGTTAGGCCAAGTTGATTTGATTATATGGATGACATCCTCCGGGAGCCCCAAAACTGATGCGCGCGTGCGAATAAAAAAAAAGTTTTGCAAAAAAAAAGTTCTTTTCATTATGAAATCTACGTGGTGATGAGGGTTGAGCAAATGGCACAGAATATGGTTTGCGAATAATCTAGTCTTCAAGTTCATTTCTTTACAATTTCCTCTTTTTTCGTTTGATTTTGGCATTCTACGACATTGGTATAGTTTTTATTAATTTTTTTGTAACTTATGGTATATTTTTGCTCATTTTGCAACTGTTTTGTACGATTTACAGTATGGTTGAAAACTTTTTTTTTTTGGAAACGGCCGAAAATTCATGCGCGCGCGGATGTCATCCATATAATCAAATCAACATGGCCTAAGTTTCGTACAATGAATCACTGCCGTTGTCTTTTTACTAATTTAGGTTTCACCATTTACTACATCGTTCAAGTCACTGTTACAGAAATAAATATTTAAGTCAAGTTACTTGCGATCAAACCCGAAGAGTTGTTAGCTTTCCTTGAGTATGTGTTTGTTGAGCACTTACCCTACCCGCGCCATGTATGCGACATTATCTGGGTAATTGGGAACAGGTCAAGAGGTCAGTGCTTCAAGGCAGCCAAACGCTTCTATGTCATCTGGCGAAAATGCACGTCGAAAAGGAAACATGGTTCAGGTTCAAAATCGTATAATCGTACCTTCATGTTCTGTAAGACATACTCATTTGTCACGACTTTTCACAACATTCACTGTTTTTCATCAACGATTTGTTGCTTTATCGTGGTTATTTAAACGTATGGATGCGGTCTATTGACAAACTGAACCCCGCGAAGTTTTGACTGAATATTTTTGGCAGATCTGAATAATCTGAAGTCATGAACTATCGTTACCTGGCTGACAGGACCTTCAGGTCATCCGCACGGTGGATCTCTAGACCACAGAGAGCTTCTTCGGCAGAGGTATGGTTTTCAGAATAGACAGTAACTCAACGTTAGAATAGACTATCACGTTACTCTCTGTTGTGTTGTGTTGTGCAGATGCGTATGCCAGTCACACACTAAGGCCACACCAAGTAAATTTTATGGATCGGACGTCCTTTGGAGACCCTAAATCTAATGCGAGAGGGCGAAAAAAAAACAAAAAGAAGGGCCCTAAAAAACAAGATGCCTAGATTAGAAATATACTAAGAGACGACAAATGTTAGGACACAAATTGAATGAGGTGACACAGTATAACAAGCAAGAAGTCTTTTATTCATCATCAAAACAGCAATAAATCAGGTGGAACAGCAGTTGTCGTCCTGTCCTGTTTCCTTTTTTTAATCACATCTTCCCTTATCCCACTGTTGTGACTCTTTGGTCATAGTTACAGGAAGCGGAATTTCTTGTTTTTTTTTCTAGGAACAGGCCAAAATCAATGCGCGC